GTTTTTCTTTAAATAATATCAGTCCATTTCAACAGCCGATATTGTCTGTGATGTTGACCCCATGATACCTGCACAAAGTTCATTTTTTCTTTAATATCTGATACACCGCAACTTCTTCAGCCAACTGGATTCATAGCGTCTTAGTAAAAGTCCCAAAAAAATGGAAATCTAGCTGCGGATGACAAGTGGCAAACCATAACGCTACCATAGAGGTAACTATAAGACCAGAAGGTCCCGAAGAAACGTGCTCAACTTTTTTTTTTAATCTGAACTTTTGGAAATGATTTCTAGTAATCAAACATCAAGATTTCTGAGAATTATGCATTCTTGTCAGTTTTTATAACTTGCTTTCTAATCTTCATTGCCTTAAATTCAAACTCTCCTCAAAATTCACGCATGCCATTGCAGAAGTGCCAAATCTATTTTTGAAATATAATACATCCAAAGAAGTGCAGTATATCTTTCATTAAAACGATATTTGAATAAATCTGTACACTGGAGTAGTTACTGCTACCGGATGGCTGTAAATTTATTCAGAGAAATTCCAATCGATTTATTGCAATAAATTGTCCTATTCCCTCGTCTTAACAAATATAAAGTTAAAACAGAATCTGTGGATAAAATCTGGGTCTTTTTTTGCAATAAAACTCCTTTATAGGAATAACTCAATCAAAAAGAAAATATTGATGACTTTAGCATTTGCTGCACATATACTAACAAATACTGTAGCCACTAAGTCAGCAAAAGCTTCATGAGATTCTTGTTCTTCTTCTTATTCGCATTTCAAGCTAATTGCTTGGCGCATATTAGCTTACTGCGTGCTCTCAACTTAGTGTTCTAAATGCACTTCCACATTTATTAATTGAGAGCATTCGATGCCAATATCAATGCATGAATTTATATATTGTATGGCAAGCACAATGATACTCTATGCCCAGGGAAGTCGAGTAAATTTCCGACCCGAAATATTCCCTCGACCGGAAAGGGAATCGAAACCGCCGCATCCGGCTTAGCTTCAAGAGATCTGATCAGTGAATTTCATGTCCCGTATGAATCTATTCGGTATTCTGATCCAATATTCTGGATCTCAGTAAATGTACAATGATCGAACCCTCAACTTTCTGATCCTTTTAATCGATTCATTCTTCTCTTCAGAATCGGTGTCTCACTTCTAACTACGTTCAACTGTCAGAAAGGGAATTTTTCTAGCTATCATCACGAATCACCTTTTTACCTTCTAGTAATCCTCAAACTAAGGCACTCATGATCGAGTGACTCAACATACTCAGATACGTCTCTTCGAGATTCTCCCGCGTCATTCTATCATCGACAACCTATTCCTGAGCGAATTTATTCCTGAAGATCTGCCCTTTCGAGTGGGTGACCCACAACACTCAGGAAATCCTCACGACATGCCTTTCCTGAGCGGGTGTCCCGTCACGCTCAATAACTTGGCGATTTCCAAGATCCGCCTTCTTTGAGTGGGTGTTCTGAAACACTCATGCAATCATCACGACTTGCCTTTTCTGAGCATGTGTCCCGCCATGCTCAATAACCTGGAGATCCTCAAGATCCGCCTTCTTCGAGTGGGTGTTCCGCCACACTCAGGCAATCCTCACGACTTGCCTTTTCTGAGCGGGTGTCCCACCACGCTAAATAACCTGGTGATCCACAAGATCTTCCTTCTTCGAGTGGGTGTTCCGGTAGAACGTATATTCAAAAAAATCCTTTACTACTTCCGGAAGTAGCTTTCCAACTTGTGGAAAAACAAATCCACAGACCTTCTTACGAGCGTCCCACTTCGTCACTAAAGGTTTGCAGTAATCTTTCCACCGGGCGTCCCACACCATGGCAAAGATAGTCTTCTAGTGGGCATCTGACACCACTGTTCACCAACGAGCGTCCCACTTCGTGGCATACTTATCTTCTTTCAGGCGTCCCACTCCGCGGAAGATTTTTCTTCGTTGTCGTCCAATCACTGAATAATCATTCCACCGGGCGTCCCACACCGTGGCAATGATTACATGACTTAGCCGTCTTGAACCACTTTTTCCACGGGCGTCCCACCACAGGTTTGATACCTGTTATGATTGCAGCAAAAATGATTATACTAAGACAACACGGCAATCATACTACACTGCAGGAAACTATTATCACTTTTGAAAGGCAACGTAACGAAGAAAAAAAAAAACAAACGCGCAAAGCAAAACAAAATGTCTTCTCAGGAACATTGACAATGCACACTTTTTTTTGTTGGTATCATTCCATTCCACTCGCGGTTCGCGGTTCGCGCTTCACACTTTCTCATAGACCAGACGAAAATTTTACGAATATACACGTGGGACTTTACGACTAGCCTTTCTTTTAAATAACACTTCAATTTCCACTTCTTAGCCCTCTCAAACCGTTGGGTGATTCTAATGAAAATGGTTCAATTTATTTTAGCACTGAATAGTAGCTAAAACCTGGCAGGATCGCCAATGTGAGGTTTGAACCGTATCCCACCGGAATCACCCAACCCTTTTGGAGAGCAGGCACAACCTCCCTATTCAACTGCACTGCGACGAAAGAGGACGAACGAGATGCTTGCTGATTGAAGCGTCGTTGGGTTGTCAGATTAAAGAGGATGAATAGAGATCTCCAAGCGCAATCTCACGAACACTAAAATCCAACATCCATACGTAAAAACGAAAAAGAAGAAGAAACAAAAAGGTATCGCGATATCACAACTACTTAAAAAGGTAGCGCGCGGTCTCACGCACACTTTTGTGCATCTGGAGAACTCTATAGATTCATCCTGTTCATCCAGTTGACAGCTCGTCGAGGGGTTCATCAATGGATATTGCACTATGACTGAATGGTAATCCATTCAGTCAATTGTGCACCTCACAATGATGATAATGTAGAGGTACATTTTCCACTTGCCGGGTGGGTCGTAAGTACAGGTTTCGGCGATCGTCTACCAGAATAAGACACGGTAAAGAAATTTATTGTCCTGGATGGACAGCTTCTGCCATCACTCACCCTTCTCCTGACAGTTGTCACAAATGACATCAAGAAGCCTAACCGATGTCGATTTGGTTCTAACTAGTTTTCAATCCGACAAGTAGGCTTACTCAGATCGGGCTTTTCCGCTGCCGCTGCCGTTCCGCTGCCGCTGTCATTGCGCTTGGGCCATAATGGTTGGCAACGGTCAGCGTATCCTGGCTAACAGTTCCAGAAGTGGCCGACGATCTCGCGCTTACCAATATTATCACTCGTTTGGCATCGTTAAAGCAAGAGGAATGAATGTTGTTCAAAGAACAATTCAGAATCGTGTTATTTGATGCACGTCAGAATCGTGTTATTTGATGCAGGACAGGCACCGTGATTACCCTCGTATATACTATGCAATATACACAGATATAGCTCGTTTAACCATCCATGAGAAGTTGGCAATGTAAACAAACAATCTCAAAAGTCATAACTGCCAGGTTGCCAGGATACTTAGATCGACAGCTTGATTGCCACTTCGGCACACTCGGACCAACGCTTGCCTCAGCTTTCGGCACAGATTGAGGTGTGCAGAGTTGAATACCCCTTGGACTATATACTAGAAGCGTGCTAGCGGCGCGCGAGGGGCGTACCAATTTACTTTTAGTCAGCATTTATAAAGAAGGAGTCAACTTAAAGGGAAAAATAATTTGTGAATGTTTCAATTGCATTTTCCCTTAAAGAAAAATTTCAAATAACAGGTCATGCTGTAAAGAAGAAATCAACCCCAAGAGAGATGTTAATTTTGATAATTTTCAGATAGAATTTTCAAAAGCTTTTATCTGTCAAAGAACAGTTTATGATACAAAGAAGGAGTCAACTCCAAGAGCAACATAATTTATTAGTATTTTATGATAGAATTTTTTAAAACATTTCCGGAGTGATTTGAAATTTGGGCGTAATTGCTTTTATAAACAAACACGGCAATCGTCGATTTCTCGCGAATGAAAGCTCAATCTTGTAAACAAACTATACCAAAGGATAAAGGAATTATTTTTTTTATCTGATTGTGTTATTAGTTTCCGAGGTTGAGCTTTTATTCGCACGAAATCGGCGATTAAAGTGTTTGTATACAAAAGCAATTACACTCTAATCTTGAAGTTCTCCGGGTTTATCCGTTGAAGAACAACTTATGGTATTAAGGAGTCAACTCAAAGCAAGAAATGATTTGTGTATTTCCATTGCATTTTTCTTTGGCATGGTTCGATTTTGGCAACAAAACAACAAAGCCGTTCGATTTTGGAACGGGGTTCGATTAAACGGATTTTGAAGATTATGTATTATAGCTCCATGCGATCACAATTTTTTAATAAAATTAAAATTATTTATGTCTGAGTCATGAAGATGATTCCTCTCTTCTTCTCGGTGGTCCAAAATCATCGGGATCATAAAATAAATTTCAAAATAAAATTGTTCGGTTTTGGCAACACTACATTTTCGGACTTGTTGACAAAATACATATAATGGGTACTGCATTGCAAACATCCGTATGGCTAACGTGTTTATGGGTAATGTCCGTCTAACTTGCCTAACGTCTACTTGATAATAGACATACATTCAATTCTGTTTTACACGATGTTCATTTCTTTGATTTTACCCTCATGCAGGATAGGTACAACATTTTAATACCACCTGATTTTTTGGAACAAGTTGCATGAAGTTTGGTTGCAAATTGAGATCACACGATCAAAAATAAAGCCTAGATAGAAGGAGAATTGCGTATAATCGAATCAAACCAAAATATCATGAATTTTATATTTGGAATGTTGTGAAGTTACGGAATTCTAAAATATTTATAAGTTTTTTTTTTCCAATGTACTGACGGCTTAACAGCTTCAAGTAGCATTTTTTGCCAAACAACCACTATGGCAAATGGGAACTGTAGAAAATTCAACGGAAATTACATTGATGAATCTTAAATATGAGTGTGTACAATGCTAAACATATTTTTCTACATTCACCATTAGGACTGTGGAAAAACCCTCCGATCGGGGAAAGAGACCTACTACAAGGTATTGACCAGGCGAATCCAGCTTCTTTAGGGTTATGGCTATAAAAACAAACAAAAATTCGTTCCAGCAAGATTGCATTTCCTTCTCTGTTCAAGGCTCTTTTTCACTCACTTTCCATCGCAGTATCAATTCGTAGTTTCCATTTCCCTTGTTATGGGCACATTACGGTTTCTCTATCTACGTTTACGTCCTTCGATTGTTTCTTACCTAGTAGTATTAGAAATCACTTTTGGCATACTTTAAATGTTATCGTTATTTTTCTCGACATATATCGTACCGAAAAAAGCACCAATCCAATACCGTATTCCAATTTGTACTCGTTTCAGTTGTTACATCGATTTTGATACTAAAATTTATTAAACTATAAGAACACAAACACAAATTCAACTTCCCCTGCTCTAAGCGAAACTCCCACCAAACATAAATAATTGCTCACAAGCTCACTCTCCCTATACAAGACATTTTTCACTAGACATTGTTACACAATTACACCCACCCTCACAAAAGTATAACCAAACGTACAACCTCATATGCAAATGGCTTGGCTCGGTATTGGCGCTTTGGCTTCCGGTTTAGGTAGGATCCAGTTTAACATTACCTATGTTTCAATTCAACCACCATTATAGAAAGCAACTGCCAATTTTAATAATTCAAAATTTGTTCATCTAAATTGCTTTATCTTTTTCCGCATAACACTTGAACGCCGAAATACCTCTCCTGAAACTCCCCCATTGCACCGAAAAAATCCAAACAAATCTGTAGTTCTCCAACGACTGCTGGGCGGCGATACTCCCCCGAACAAGGTGCTGGAGGTGAAAAACGAGAACTACATCAACCTGCAGGTGCTCCATCGGGACGATGCAATGCGGCTATATGCGCCGAGCACCGGGGGCAATGACAAGAAAGCGGTGTACGAGATCGTGCTGGAGCGACCCCACTCGGAGACGGTCAACACGTCTTATAGGTGAGTTTGAATGGTATGGTGATACGTTTTCCGGTCTATCTACTGTTGTATTTTCATTGTGCCATGAAATTGATGTCACCTATCAACATTATCTTTTCCCCCAGCCTCTATCGAAGTGTAACGCAAGCCGAAGCTGAGGAAAAGTTTGAAGCCTTCCACCAAAGACTACCGGAGCTAGTGAAAATGATTCGTGAGGTAAGTTTTCCATCTAAACGCGTTTGTAAAATTGCTTCCCTTGATGATAACGTTGGCGAATCCTTCCCCCCCAAAGATGTACAACATCAACGGACTCCAGAAGCTGTGCGACACTTTGATCGAATATCCTTCCTGGTCGATGGCGCACATTATCGCCCACTTCAATCTCATCGATTATATCTCGAATCCGAAAATCGTAGAATCGATAGACGATCCGGATCATACCGGACTTTTGACACCCTTACAGGTGAGTTTTTTTCCGGTTTGCGTTGACATCCACATTTTTGGACGCACTATTATTCTCATTCCAGATCGCAACCAAAGCCAACAACTTCGAGATGGTCAAAGCTCTTCTACCGGTTAGTAACATCGAGCACTTGGATAACAATAGTAATTCCGTGTTTCACTATGCTGCTAGCACCACCAAAGAAATGATCAATGTGAGTGGGTGAATGGACATTTTGAGTTTCACTTCTATCTAACGTTGATGAATTGACTTACAGCTGCTAACGGCCAAGAGTACAGCCAATCTGAATCACTGCAACGCCGATGGCTATACGCCTCTCCATTTGGCGTGTTTATCCGACAAGCCGGATTGCGTTAAGGCTCTACTGCTGGCAGGAGCCGATACCAACAAGATGGCCCGGTTTGCGAGTAATTCCTACAATAAGACGATGGCTTCGAGTGAGTACTTCCAGCAGCAGTTTAGTTTTCTATTTGTTTTGACTAACAAATTCAACAACCAAGTGACTTTTGCCTCAAAACTAACCATCGTTTTCAGCATTAGGGGCGTTGCATGCTGGTAGCACCATCGAATATTATCAACAATATTTAGTGGACATAACGATTTAACATAACCTGCAACTAACTTGGATTTTCTTTCTTTTAATTTTCTTTTACCACCCCTTTATGAAACGATGAAAACCGATCTCCGATAATCACAATCAAGAACCTTACTTCTCAGGCAATGTTGCGGACTTTTTGGTAAGTAATCCGAACAAGCTGTTCACCCAGGACATGAAGCACGGTGGAACGCCACTGCACTGGAGCTCCAGCCGGGAAGTGCTGAATTCGCTGATCGAACGCGGCTGCGATGTTAACTTGGTTAACTTCAACGGGCAGACACCGCTGCATGTTATGGTGAGTATAATCCAAGACGAACGGGAGGGGGGGTACTTTGTTTCGAGGTCTATTCAGCACTAGCGTGCACATGAATCTTGTTAAGGAGGGGCAATTTTTTTCTACTGTGCATTTAATCTGGGGATGGGGAGTACTCCAAAGTACGTGGTAGATGGTGCTGTCCTCCTCCCACTTTTTCCCTACTGTTCAATTTAGCTAATTTTATTTAGTTTTTGCTCAGGTGGTGGTTCATCTTCTTTACATTACATTGTGCAACGACGTAATCATATCATTTTGAATACGTTTACTTGTATACTGGCAATTTTTTGCACCTTCCGCCAAGTGTTTTTCCAGCACAGGATCGTAGTTAGCCACCAACTGGGTGGCACACTTTCCGCTCCTTCCGAATGTCCACGAAGTGGTCGGCTACCTTTGCAAAGTATGCGCACAATATCGATGAAATGTTCAATTATATAGCGATTTTGTAGCTGCTTTGCTTTACTAGCAACAATCATAGCTGTTTTTTGGTGGTCCAGTTCTTCATCGAGCCTTCCTGGTTTTGAAATTCTTGAAATATTCCCGGAATGAGCTAGAAATTATTGGTACTCCCTTGAAGTTTTCCTCAAAATCCCTTTGGAATTTCACTCAAAATTTAATTTTTACGGTATTCTTTTCGGAATTATCTGCAAGATTCACTAGAAATTATTCGCAGACATTTCTTGGAATACTCCCCAGAAATATTTTGGAACAGTCCTCAGAATTCAATATCCTTGAGGATCTTCTCGGATTTTTTAGAACTCTCCGAAGAGCTCTTTTGAAATTCGTCTTAGAAGTCCACTGGAATTATATTTACAATTATTCATGATTTTTTTCTCTAAGCACCTTGGAACTGAAATTCCTTTAGAGTTTCAGAAATTATTCCCGGAATGAGCTAGAAAGTATCCTCGGAATTCGCTTGAAATTTTGCTTAAAATCCCTTTGGAAGTTCACTCAAAATTTGATTTTCTCGGTATTCTTTTCGAAATTATCTTGGAACTATCTGCAGGATGCACTAGAAATTATCCGCAGAATTTTCTTTGAATTCTCTCCAGAAATATTTTGGAACTGTCCTAAGAATTCAATATCCTTGAGGTATTTCTCGGAATATTCTAGAATTTTTTTTCTCAAAACACCTTGGAACTGAAATTCCCCTAATGTTTCAGAAGAATTTCCTCTGTATTCTTCAGAAATTCTTCCTAAAATGATCTTGAAATTATCCTCGAAATTTCCTTGAAATTTTCCCCAAGATCCCTTTGGAATTTCATTCAAAATTTGATTCTCTAGATATTATTTTCGAAATTATCTTGCAGCTATCTACAGGCTTCACTAGAAATTATTCGCAGAATTTCCATGGAATCATCCCCAGAAATCTTTTCTTTTGGAACTTCTCTTCAGAATTCAATACCCTTGAGGTTCTTCTTGGAAGTCAAGTTTAAGTTGTCCGTCCATTCACCAAAACATTGCAGTTTTTCTACCAAAAATGTTCAATAAGGCTTGCCTCTCCATTCACCAGAACTGTACAATTTTTACATCAGGAATTATCAATTCAGCTAGCCCCTTCATGCAGCAGATTGAATCTTACACCAGAAATTTTCAATACAAACTTGCTTCCAGAAACCTGTACACCAGAAAAGTTTACACCAGGAAATTTCAATTGACCAGAACGATGCAAATGATTCACCGTTAATGTTCAATAAAATTGTTCTCCAATCTTCTGATTGGTGCAGATTTCCTTTTTCCATTTTCCACCAGACATTTTCAATATAGCTTGCTTCTCCTATCATCAGAATGTTGCAGGTTTTCCACCAAATAAAACTTGCCCCTATTTTCAGATTTTTCATCCTAAATTTTCAGTAAAGCAGCTTCCCTCCAATCATAAGAATGTTGCAAATTTTACACCAGAAATTATAATTTAAGTTTGTTCCTCTATTGAGCAAAACGATGCAAATTTGAGACCAAAGATTTGCCGAAAAGCTTGCCCATCCGTTCACCAGAACGGTGCAGATTTTCCTCCAGAAGTTTTCAATATAGCTTAATTTAAATAAAGCTTGTGCCTTCATTTACCTTCATTTACCATTAGACCAGTGCAAGTTTTCCACCAGAAATTTTCCGTTAATTTCATTTATCAGAGCGATACAAATGTTGCACCAGAAATTAATTTTCAATAAAGCATTCTCCTCCATTCACCAGAATGGTGCACCAACAATTCAGTGCCAACATTTCAAAGGGGCGTAATTGCTTTTGTAAACAATGACTTTAGCCGTCAATTTCTCGCGAATTAAATCTTGCCTCTCCAAAATAACAATGCTAGCTGGTAGAGGAGACATTCCTCTACCTGCTGGTGTCATTATTTTTCATGAGTGAGCTTTTATTCGCGAGAAATCGACGGCTAAAGCCATTGTTTACAAATGCAATTACGCCCCTTTGAAATGTTGGCACTGAATTGTCAGTGAAGTTTGTTTTACCATGCACCGTTGTGGTGCAATTCTCAGGCACCAGAATGGTGCAAATTTTAAACCATAAATTTTCAATTAAGCTTGCATTCAACAGAACGACACACCCCTCATCATCCCTCTCCAAAGGGGGAGTTTGGTAAAGAGAGATGATAAAACCGATTTGTACCTTCCTTAAAAGTTGTCCTAGCTCGCTATCTACTATCTATATGCAATTTTCACACTGCTAGAGTACGGCAGACTTTAGACTTTCATCTCCTCCATCTATCGTATAGAAATTACCACTTTAATCTGTTATTTGAAATTAGCATCTTCAACTAGGTCAATTTAGGTTTATTGAAATTGCACCCCCAATATATTGCCGAAAGACGTAATCCTTCAAAACTCTAACATTATCGAAATCTGCCTATCGTGAAATCTTCTGCAGTAGTTCTGTTCCCCCACATATTTGAAATTCTTCATTGTGCACTTATTTGTCAATAACATGCTCCATTTCCCATTTTCCAGGTCACCCGCGACCGCCTCGAATGCGTGGTTGCCCTCCTAGCCCACGAGGCGGAAATCGATGTGGTGGACAACAACGGGAACACTCCCTTGCACATTGCCGTCGAGAAGAAGCTCATTCCGATCGTTCAGTGCTTGGCCGTGTTCGGAGCCGACATCAACAAAACCAACAAGGACGGCAAAAGCTCCCGGCACATGGTCGGCAAGGATGACTCCGGCTCGAAGGATTCCATGATCCTGTACATTCTGCATTCGGTCGGAGCGAAACGATGTACGGAGAATGGCGGCAGCAAGTGTCCTCCCGGATGTTCGATCAAGGGCACATTCAATGGAATTCCACCGGCACAACCGGAAACCTCCGAACAGCGGGAGCACATCCAGCACGTACTGGCCAGCACGAGTCGGTCTCAGCGAAATAGCATTCCCAGTATGATTTCCAATACAATTAAATCCGTTCGGGAGGAACGAGAGGCGTTGCGTGAGATCAAAGAGGAGGTGAAAACGGTTGATGTAACTCAGGAACGCAAGGGGGCCAGCATGATGGACGCATTGTTGTCGATGTTTACCAATAAAGTGGAAGCAGCTTCCAAGGTTAGTGCACCCGGATCGGCTTCGACTTCCCCGACAGGAAAGGGTATCATAGATATAGGTGATGAACCGATGTTGGAGGAACCCACCGTTCACCAGTCAACATCCCCACCACCTAATTCAGGGGAATGGCATGGTCGCGGACGGTTGCTTTGCCTCGACGGTGGTGGCATCCGTGGTCTGGTGCTGGCGCAAATGCTGCTGGAAATTGAGAGTCTCGCACAAACCCCGATAAATCACATGTTTGATTGGATCGCCGGCACAAGTACCGGAGGAATACTGGCACTGGGGTTGGGATGTGGCAAGACCATGAAACAGTGCATGTGCTTGTACCTACGCATGAAGGATCAAGCTTTCGTTGGCTCCCGCCCTTATCCTAGTGATTTGCTGGAATCAGTGCTGAAAGAGCAACTGGGCGAATTCACCGTTATGTCCGACATCAAATACCCGAAGCTGATGGTCACGGGAGTGATGGCCGATAGGAAACCGGTCGATTTGCATCTGTTTCGAAACTACAAGTGTGCCAGCGATATCCTAGGCATTGCAACACCATCCAACTGCCGAAGACAGCCGCCACCGCCACCAGAGGATCAGCTGGTGTGGAGAGCGGCCAGAGCAACGGGAGCAGCACCTTCGTACTTTAGAGCATTTGGTCGGTTCCTGGATGGCGGTTTGATAGCGAACAATCCCACCCTGGATGCGATGACCGAGATTCATGAGTACAATATGGCCCTAAGGAGCATTGGACGGGATCCGGAAGCGGTCCCGGTAAGTGTTGTTTGAAAGAAGAGATTGAATTGGGTCTTTCTTATAGCGTTTGTGGTTTTCGATTTTAGATCTCAATCGTAGTATCACTTGGCACTGGTATGATCCCGGTGACGGAATTGAAGGAAATCGATGTCTTCAGACCGGACAGTATATGGGACACTGCAAAGTTGGCCTACGGTATCTCCGCTATTGGTAAGTGTATTGTTTTGCTCCTGGCAAACTGCTTGCTAGCTACGATTCAACCATTTTGGAAAAGTCTTGTCCTGCATTACGTTATGCGTAAACCTCACCTGGCGGTTTAATTTTCGTGTTACAATATTTGCGTTCATTACATTGATGCTGATGTCGGTGTTAGAAAAATAAGCTTCATCGGGTTTTAAAAGACGTTTTTTTCGGGGGAACTTCCCCTACCCCATGATGTTTTTGGTTTGCGTGGACGTACTTCGGTTCGCGTATAAAGGGCCTTTCAGCTTTTGTGCATCGGTAAAAGTCTGCACGGAAACCTACAAACTGATGAACCAACATAAAGTAGAAAACTTCTACCATGACATCGAGGTTGACAAGCTGCTAAAGGTGAGGATTGGCGCATTTGGCCTCTACGAAGAACCAATCAGGTTGCAACAAGATTCCGTGGAACAACGGGCAGAACTAGTGGCATCGCCACTTCTACTCAACAGTCGAATGGCTGCTGCTACCACTACATCGGTCCCTCCAGCACTCCGGCAAGCTCGACTCAACAATCGTTTGTGGCTACCGCTAAATTCCCAGGATCCTTCTTCTTCCTGGACGTTTTTGCAGTTACGATGTGGCTCCACTACCGAACGACAATAACTCTCTCTATTGGTTCACGGTGGAGCAATTTTATCCAGCTTGCCACTCGGTTGCACAGATGCAAATGCCGATGCGGCCAAAAATCTCTTAAATAAAGATTTAAAAAAAAACCGATGCGGCCAGATTTACACAATGGGCTTTTTCATCTTTGATTGATGGAATGATACAAATAGATACAAATACATGAAAATTGAACTTGTTGAGCTGCTTTATCAAAAAATCTCTGTGTCTTGGCGAACAGTGTAGTTCAATTTGTTGTGAAGTGAAAAATTATTTTTAATTACGTGTGAAATTGTGTTGTTGTTAATTGCAACGCGTGCCCAATTGTATTTGATAACAGGATAAGTAGGAGAACAGTTTACAAAAGTAGCTGGGCCGATTCCCTCTGAAGCGGGTCAAATCCCCGATGGTAATAGTAATAGTCATGACAAAGAGAATTCTACTAATGATAAAGTTAAATGTAGTTTCGCGGATGCTTTGAAAAACGGACAAGGGGACGGTAAAAGTAAGGATAGGAATAAAAATAAAGTTGATAAAAGTAAGGTTGAAAGTAAAAAAACTGAACAACCGTAAGGTTCGTCCGGTCATTGTGACTGCAAGGAAACTCGCAAGTGTTTGAAAACAAACCTGGATCCAAAAACTCACAAAATCAGTAACTTTAGAAACGGGAAAGATGGCTGCATTATTGTTGAGTGTGCAACAGGATACAATGTAAATGAGGTGAAAAAGGGCATTGAATGCAATTTGGGTGAAAACTACAACGCTGTTGATCCCTCATCGGTGCCAGTGTTAAAAGTGGTGGGCATGAGCGATCAGCATTCCTCCGATGTCTTCATTGACTTCTTAAAAAGTCAAAATGAAGACATCACAAATAATGATGTAAAAGTAGTTAACATGTTTGAAAATCCACGCTTCACTTACAACAAGTTTAGTGTTGTGATTGAAGTCGATATCGAAACATATAAATGTTTGTTATATGCGAAAAAAGTAAATGTAGGGTTTGATCGGAGCTCGATAGTTCCACACAACACCTTTAAGTGTACGTCAACTGTATTAAAATGCGTTAATTGTTTAAAAGCTAATAAGGAGCGTAAATTAAATCTGGATGTCAACCACGCAGCATTTAGTTCTAATTGTTTTGTGTATAAAAAACTATTTGATAAAAAAAAGCAGCTTATATTTTAATAAATAGCAACCAAGTTCCAGTAGTAATGTGAGTAAATTAGGGATTTTGTATTTGAATATTGCGGGGTTATCTACAAACTACGTAACATAACGTCAGATTGTAGAAGAAAATCGTCCACTTTTGGTTTTGTTAGCAGGAACACATATTGTAGAAATTGAAGCTTTTGATCAGTATAGCATTCCGGGATATAAAGCTGCTGCTTGTTTGTCACATACGAGGCACACTGGCGGTGTTGCTATCTATGTCAAAGAATCAGTTCAATTCAAGCTTCGCCACAACGAAGTTATTGATGGCAATTGGTTCTTAGGCATTACAGTTGAACGTGGCATGGAGTTGGGTAATTATGGTGTTTTGTATCATTCTCCCAGTTCAAGTAATCAGCGTTTTATTGAAATTTTGGAGAACTGGCTCGAGACATTTTTAGATTCTAGTAAATTAAATATGCTTGCTTATTTTAACATTAATTGGCATGATACTAGCAATTCTAATCATCTGAAAATTTTAATTTAAAACAATTAGTAAGTGAATATACGCGTATTTCCCGGCACAGTAGAACTTTGATTGACCATGTTTATTCTAATTTTGATTCTGTCAGTTCAGTTACTCAAGCTGATCATGAAACATCAGTGATTAATGTCTTAGACCATGTTAACAATAATTTTGTAAAATTGAAGTCCTGGAGGAAACATTCGAAGCAAGCTCTTTCAAATCTTCTCAACAAACGTGGATTTTCCATTAGTTACCACCGGAACTTTAGATGAAGATGCAGCTGTTCTTACTAACGTTTTGAAAACTTGTACCAATAAATTAGTTGAACAGAAGTTTGTTTCTTTAAAAAACTCGAACAGCTGGTAGAATTTTGATCTTTTAAGTCTTAAACGTAAGAGGGACAAATAGTACAAAAAGTTTTGTAGATCTAATAGTGATAATCATTGGAATAGGTACACGATCGCGCGTAATAAATATTCACAATCGATAAAGAAAACTCGATGTGAATATATTCAGAGGAAAATTGATCAGCATCAAAACAACAGCAAAGAGTTATGGAAAATTTTGAAATCTTTGATGAAGCCTAGTAATTGTAAATCGCGGTCCATAACTTTTGATGGCATATTAGAACAGTCAAAACCAGTAATTGCTTCTAATTTTAATGACTATTTTGTGGAGAGCGTTTCACTGATCAATCAATCTGGTGAATGGACCGGACGAAATAAAACAGCTGATTAATAGTAACTGTAGATTTGATGGTTTTCACCCAATTACATTAGATGAACTTAAAAATATTTGCTTTTCATTAGGAAAAACGGTTGGAGTATATAATGTTAATGCTAGAGTTATTCAAGATTGCTTTCATGTCATTCGACACACTCTGCGGGACCTTATTAATCAATCATTGCAATCTGGGCACGTGCCGCATCTTTAGTTGTTCCTATACAAAAAGTTGCTGAGACGATTAAAGCCGAAGAGTTTCGTCCCATCTTGCACATATTAGAGAAAATTTTAGAACTTTTTGTAAAAGGCCAGCTGTTAGAATATTTAAATAGTAATTGTTTGTTGATACCGGAACAATCGGGATACCGGGAAGTTCATTCTTGTGAAACTGCGTTAAACTTATTGTTAGCTAAATGGAAAGAAAATTTGGAGCATAAAGATACGATTGTTGCTGTGTTTTTGGATCTAAAACGCGCTTTTGAGACAATTTCTAGCTATTTATCTGACAGAACACAAATGCCTGTTTTTAATGATTTTGTATCTTGTCCCGTTGACAATGACCTTGGAGTGCCTCAGGGAAGTGTATTAGCGCCCCTTTTATTTATTATGTATAATAATGACATGCGACGAGTTTTACGGTTTTGTGATATTAATCTTTTTGCTGACGATACTGTGTTATTCATTGCAGCTAAAGATTAAGAAGAACTCGTTTCACGCTTGAATGACGATTTGCGTTCTCTAAGTAGATGGTTGAAGTATAAACAATTGAAACTGAATACATATAAGTAAAACTAAATTCATGGTAATTTCGCGGAATCGTGTAGATGATGATGTCTCTGTTGTTATTGATGATGAGACGATTGATCGCGTTCAGGAAATTAAATATCTTGGCGTGATTATTGATGACAAACTCATGTTCAATTCTCATATTGACAATGTCATCAAGAAAATTGCCAAGAAGTATGGAATTCTATGTCGCTTGAAAAACTATTTAATTATTGGTTGTAAAATACAGTTATACAAATCAATCATCTCCCCTCATCTAGACTTTTGCCCTTCCATTTTATTTTTGGCCAAATATCGAGATTACGCGTTTGCAGAATAGAGTAATGCGTTTGGTTTTAAGATGTAATAGATTCACTTCCTCAACTTTTATGCTGGACGCTTTGCAATGGCTGTCAGTGAAGCAAAGAATTGTGTATTTGACTATGGTGTTCATTTTTTAAGTAGTTAACGGTTTGCTGCCTCGATCCCTTCATCCGCGTTTGTAGGATGAAGTAAGATCTCCACATCCTTTGAATAATGCTTCACAAAATTCATTATTTTTCAAAGGTATAAATGTTTTCAATTCGATGCCTAGACACATCAAGCGTGCAACTACACTTACAGTATTTAAGAGACGCTGCATTTCACATGTAAAAGCTGTTTAATGAGCAGTTAAATTTTTATGAATGGATAAATCATGTATCTTGACGAAGTTATCTTTAACGGATTATTTTGTATGGAGACTGTCATAAAGACATTTTAGTAATTTGTGTAGCATAAACAAAAAACTACATTGTTTGCCTCGATGGTGATGATGGATTTTTAGTTTTTTGATTTTGTAGTAGTAATAGTAAAATTAGCTTTGAGTAGTCTACAATGGTTTGAGTCTCGCGCGCGGAATACAGGTATAAATGACTAATACGTGGAAATTGTGGTTCAAGCCTTGAAAGGGTTGGCTGGAAGTCGTTTCCTTGGATATAGTCCTGGGACTGCGGAAGCTTAAACGTGTAAATTCCAGGTCACGTGTAAATGGAAGTATTGTCGAGGATTATACTTGGATTCTTGATAACTAGTTACCCCTTTGAATGTTTTTGGTTGATGCCTATAGCATATTTAACAGGAAATTTATATCTGTAGTCAGCTCGATTTTGTTTGCAAACCTGGTTAAAATGTTTATATTTAATTATCTCAAAGTTTGACTCAAACCTTTGTAGGGGTAAGAGGTGGAACCATCATAATCATAATCGTGACTAAATGACATACGACATATGGCTCAAATAATAATGAGTCATTACTGATGACAATCAACAAAGAGAAAATTCAATCCTTTAAATTTGTCGAACCTCTTAACGGAATCCCTTTATGAAGAGCTTTGAGTGGGTTGGCTTATTTCCTTTAAATTCCGTTATAATTGCTTATCTTTTTACAGATACGCGTATTTCGTCTACTACTTGCAGACTTCATCAGTGCCAAGTACTCAACACCACTCAGTCCCCCTTATTCTGCGAGTAACGTGACTCTCTGTCACCGGTGAGGTGACAATTCTCACCTCACCGGTGACAGAGAGTCACGTGACTCGCAGAATAAGGGGGAGTGTTGAATATAAACCAGGAAATAAACCAACCCACTCAAAGCTCTTCATAAAGAGAAAATTGTTTGAACAACAACGTGGTTGTTACATAGCTTTCTCTAAACGGTATCTGCATCATCCATGTACAAACAAAATTTTATCATTTTCCTTCCACTGTTCGGATGAAGCTATGTTGCGAAAAGAGTGTGTCATGACAATCGTCGCAACGTTTTGTCTTTATTATTTTGAAACCCTGCTACCATTACTACTTCTCAAAAATTAGCTAGGAAAAGACTTTCAGGGCATTTTCTTCAAAGGACTTCCCCCAATTTCTTGGAATGTAAATAATCTGAAAAATAAGAAGGCATATTCCACTGACATCATGCCCTTTCTTCTTCCACCATAGGTAATCTTCTCGTCGACCAAGCAACGGCTTCCGATGGCCGCGTGGTGGATCGTGCCCGTGCCTGGTGCAGCATGATCGGCGTCCCGTACTACCGTTTCAATCCGCAGATGTCCGTCGATATTGCGATGGACGAAAAGATCGACGAACCACTGATCAACATGCTGTGGGAGGTCAAGGCCTACATGTACGCCAACCGGCGAAAGGTCATCGAAATGATCAACATTCTCAAGTGAGGAGACAGGTCCGGCCGTATAATTTGATCTTTTCTACTTAGTATCATTCTCTCTTGTACACATACAAACACTAGTAATGGACAGGAAGCCACAGTTCTCAGAGACAATACACAAAACAAATCAGAACTATTATATATCGTATGACCGAAGAAGACAGTAAGATGTAATTGTAAGTAAGCAGAAAAAAATACCACAAGAATCATATTTTTACAATGCAGGACTTGTAGCAGGAGAACAGAAAATTCCGATTAGTTTGTAGGGACAGTACAACGATAGATTAAATTTACAGAGAAAGGAAGAAAAACCAGCGGCTTCACATTTACAGTACTTGGTAGTCGAACGCAAACAATTAGATAAATCCGTAAACGAATTGAACCTTTGAGCTTGTGTGCGCTACTCAGAGCGATTGATTGTTTTTTGCTTCGTGGAGAAAGTTTTCAAATCTTCAAAGTGATGCAGTAGGTATAAACGTAGATGTCGTTGACTCAAAACAAACAAATAAAAAACAAAAACGATAGAATATGTGGAACACATTCGATTGGCAAACAGCTGCAACAAAATGAAGCTTCCCTTTTACATAAGTGTGTTTGTTATATTTACTACGCGAAACGGTTTGTGCAGACAGAGTCATCGATTTTCAAACAAAGTACCCATTTGTTCCTTTACGAAACACAAACCACCTAGATTTTACTGATCCCTTGTATCCCCACCCCAGTCAGTAGGTACCAATTTCGATGCTCTGTCTTGTTGTCTTGTAAAAATAAAGAATGCAGTTGCTGTGTATCGTTTAGGGTGTAATTCGAAATTGATAGGCTACATATTTAATTTTGCCTTGCTTGGTATGCTTTGCATCGACTGCTAGGTTCGACTTCAAAATGTATAAATTATGGTACGCCTTAAAGGCAAATTCAACTGAATTCATTATTTTCAGTCATTACAGGATTATGTTTAAACTAGTTCAAATAACAAACATTCAAGCTTTGAAGACGTGGTGCAGAGAATGGTCAGTTATTTATTTGAGTTATCAATTACCTTCCCACCAACTCCCCTTAAAGCTAGATCCTCTTAAAACGAAAAATAGCCCAAAGATTTCAACGAGAGACGGCAACCGTCACGTTCCATTTTATCCACGTTAACTAATCCGAAGAATAGTTTAACCCGATCGAACAATAGCAACAACAAAATTAAAAAAAAAAAACAGATACAAACTGGTGTTTTAAATTACTGAAAAAGACTTGTACAATTCAGAACACATTTCAACCGTGATGAAAGGATGTTATATCAATAAACTGTTTTTTGGGATAATGTATTAATTGAACTGGTTTTGGGACTGATCCGAAACTCCAGAAATTGTCATATCCGAAATGATTTGATCTGTACAGCAGAGCAGTATGGTCGGTGAACCGTTTTGGAAAGTCTCAACAAGTTTTTTTTAGTAGAATGAGAAACAAGAAGATTTAGAATGTCTCAAATATTGTTTCCTGTTTAAAAATTACAACAAATTTTCATTACGTCGAAAGTAACATTCGCACCGAACCGAGAAAACCATGGTTTTGTTCATATTTCCAATTAAACACATATAATCTCTTAAGCTGGGTTTAGACAGGGCAAGTCAATTGATCAAGTCAGTTGAATTCAACTGACTTGAACGCGAATTGAACTTGATCAACTCACTTGAATTGAAAAAAGTTGAACAGGCTCAACTTTTCAAGCCAATTGAATTCAAAACTGAGTTGATCATTTGACTTGCCTAGTCCAAACCCAGCATAAAGCAATATTAACCATAGCGGATATTCGGGAAAATTATCAAGTACGTCTCCCTACGTACAGCCTTCATTCATCATTTTAGGATCACCGAAATAATCGGCTCTTATTACGGGTGTCACTTCACGGTGAAAACGAAGTGAAGTGACCAGTGGTCACTCACGGTGAAGTGATTGCCGTGTAAATCAAATGGGAATCACTTCACCGTGAGTGATTGGTTGTCACTTCACCGTGAAGTGACATCGGTTAAAGAGCCTGAATTTATAAAGAGACGACATGTCAAAATTGGAACAATCGATTATCTGTCAAAGACATAGAAAAAAGTCATTCCAATCGAGCAGAAGACCTGTCAAATGGATAAGATGTCGCCTCTTTATAAATTCAGGCTCTTTGACATCGGTAATAAGGGCCATCTTAGTAGCAAACGGCTCGATATATTCACCTAGTAAGTAAAACGACAAATGTACACTTTTCGCGGGTTTTTCTGCTCTGATACTTAAGACCAGAGTTGGTAAATATCACAGCCGTCATGTGACAATGAGAAAACAGGTCCTCTCACTATCACGAGACGAAACGACCGATCATTAGCTTTTTTGTCATTTTTCAATGATCAAGCACTCATGAGAATAGTTCTTATGCAGTTTTGACGTCAACAATTCTAACTGATGTAGATGAATTTAAGCAAGTAACCATATGTAATCGGTAGAGTGAATATATTTTTAAGGTTTTCTTGGTACAAGTAACTTTAATAGCAATACATGAGCTAGTAATCACGATGATCACAAGACTGTCACGTTCTGTCATAACAAAAAAATCGAAATATGTATGAGTTCGGAGAAGCTCAGAGTGGAAGGAAACAGGTTAGACTATTTTATACAGGAGGAGTAGTCCAAAACCACTACGACAGTATGATTGATAGAACAATAGAAAAATTTTCAACTATAACTCCCACTCAGGTTTGTGATACAGAAGTTATCGATAAGAGAAACCAAAATGATAGAAGTAAGCCTTTAAGTAGGTGCGCAAGCGAAATGAATAAAGTAAGAGAACCAGCAATTTTCAAACAAAAGAATGAAAGAAATCGAAATAATTCTGAATATTCGGTTGAAAGCATAAAAATTGCTAGTTGGAATGTAAGAGGGTGCAAAACATTAACCAAAAGGACCGAAATTGACGGTACGTTAGATGCATATGGAGTAGATGTAGCAGTATTGCAGGAAGCAAATACCCTAGGGAATCAAATACACACAGCGAATTTCACTTGGATGGTGGAAGGCAACCATATTAATAAGGCAAGAGGACTAGCAATTTTAATTAGGAAAGGATCAGGAATAAAAGTTGTTCATATTAAAGAAAGAAAAATAGGCATTATGTGGTGTAAGCTTCTAATAAATGGAATTAATTTAATATTAATAAATGTCCATGCACCTAATGTTAGACAAAATACATTTTTATCTAATCTTAGTGATTTAATATCAAAAGACAAACATAGAAAGAACTTGTTGATCATGGGTGATTTTAATGCACAACTAGGAACAAAAGACATGAGTAGTGAGGACCATAAATATATAGGAAATATGATCGGTCATGATTTCTGTAACGCAAATGGAGAACTGCTCAAATTATTCTTGCATACATCAAAAATTAAAAACGTTTCATCCAAAATAGGGAAGGATATAAAAGTAACTTGGAAATGTAAAGACAAACAAAGTCAAATAGATCATATTCTAGCTCCGCAGTATAACAATTTTAAGATTAAATTTATTAAAGGATATTGGACGCAGGTCAAAACGGACCATAAACTGATTCAAGTTGGCATTTCACTTAAAGATGTAGAAATTCAAGCATCAAAAGCAAAAGAATCATCTCGCATATGTATAGAATTGTTTAAGGATCCAAGTATTAAAAAGAAATATCAGGAAAAAATAAAATCAATTAAAGTAAAACACACAAACAAATATTCGGTAGATCAAAGATACTCAAACCTAGTTAAAAAGATGAAAATAGCCGCTTCTAGCATATTAAGAGTAAGTAAAATCCCAAGTACACCAAAGCGGAGAAAAGCTTTTAATAATTTAAGAGATGCTTTGTGATTTTCCAAGAAACATCCTGACATGCAGAACTATAAATACAAATTAGGTAATCGCAAACAAGAGTTAGCTCAAGCTATAAAAGACCATAAGGAAAAGGAATTATGTTATTCTTTAAACAATTAAACGATTTTGACGTAGAAATGAGAATAAGAAAAACATACAGTTATCTAAAAAAAACTTCAGAAAACAGAAGAACAACAAGGCATCAAAAATTAGTACACGAGTATGGGATAATATTTTGAAGGATTGTCAAGGGCCAGAAATAGATTTTTGTAATGAACACGATTACGTTCCGTTACCAAACCCTCCTACCTTAGATGAAATTAGATTTATAATCAATAAAGGGTGATACGGTCAAAATTTGGTCAAGGGAAAACGCGTGTAAATCGGTGAAATCGTTTATTTAAAAAATCAAATTAAATTTCTTTTTCAAGTTCAATTAGTATAAAATTCAGGAAAAATATTCAGTTAGGCTTCCGCTTTTCCAAATCCGAATTGCCGGGCCTTACGCTTGACCCCTGCCATCAGATTTTGTACAGCCACCTTGTCCACCTTCTTCGCCGCAGAAAGCCAGTTTGCCTTGAACTGCTGCTCGCCCTTAGCAGTTTTTTTGGTCTTCTTTAGGTTCCGCTTGACAATAGCCCAGTATTTCTCAATTGGGCGGAGCTCTGGCGTGTTGGGAGGGTTCTTGTCCTTGGAAACCACCTGCACGTTGTTGGCGGCGTACCACTCCATGGCCTTTTTACCGTAATGGCAAGATGCCAAATCCGGCCAAAACAGTACGGAACAACCGTGTTTCTTCAGGAAAGGCAGCAGACGTTTATTCAAACACTCTTTCACGTAAATTTCTTGGTTGACAGTCCCGGAAGCTATGAAAATGCTGCTTTTTAAGCCACAGGTACAGATGGCTTGCCAAACCAGATATTTCTTTGCGAACTTTGACAGTTTCATGTGCTTGAAAACATCTGCTACCTTTCCCCTTCCTTTTGCCGTATAAAACTCCTGTCCCGGAAGCTACTTGTAGTCGCTTTGACGTAGGTTTCGTCGTCCATTACCACGCAGTCAAACTTCGTCAGCATCGTCGTGTACAGGATCGCGCTTTGGCCGTCGTATTTTGTTTATCATCGCGATTTGGAGTCACTACCTTCTTGTAAGGCTGTGAACCATTTGCCGAGTTAAATTTAACTCGTGGTTAAAAGTGACATTTCGAAAGTTATTTTCTATGTTCGAAAATCCCCGTGCTGTCGATCGACCGGTTTTCGAGCCACGGTTGTCAAAATTTAACTTCTTGTTTGTCAGAAATAACCATGCTCGGATAGCAGGGTTAATCGATAACTTTTCATCTGTCAAATTTTAACCAAAAGTTAAAATAATCCACCAAATGGTTCAGAGCCTAAGTCGATAGTCCGGCTCGTTTTTTGGCTCGATGCACGGTTGTAGACGATACACCCAGCTTATTTGCGGCATCTCGGAGAGAGAGGTTAGGGTTTCGCTTGAAACTACCGGCAACTCTCTTTGTCGTCTCAGCGGCTTCCGGTTTTCGATTTCCCCCCGATCCAGACTTCCTTGCTGTCGACAAACGTTCCCCAAACACTTTAATTACATTTGTAACGGTTGATTTGGCAACTTTTAGCGATTTTGCCAACTTTGCGTGCGAGTAGCTCGGATTTTCGCGATGCGCGAGCAAAATTTTGATACGCTGCTCTTCTTGCTTGGACGGCATTTTGACAACTAAAGAGTGAATTCCAAAATCAAAATAGGAGCAACATTTTACACACACACACCTTCAAAATGAGGGGTGTTCAGGTTTTTTAAATGCAAAATTGAAAGAAATACGTCAAGTTGATATTGACCAAATTTTGACCGTATCACCCTTTACGTCTAGTAATGGAAAAACGCCAGGGCCAGACCGAGTTTATTTAGAATATCTTAAAAATGCAGATCAGAGCACGATAGAAGAGCTAGTTGAAATTATGAAGTTGGTATATGTAGAAAACATAATGCCCAAAGGCTGGAACAAATCGACGCAAATTCCCATTCCAAAAAAGGCAGGAGCTTCAGAAGCCGATCATTTTCGTAGAATATCTCTTTGTAATGTGGCTTATAAAGTATATGCTAAATGGATAGGTAACCAGCTTCGAAAATTCACAGGAGATCCAGGGTTCCATCAAGCAGCATTTACAAGAAGTAGATCAACAGATGATCATATATTCATTGCTAGGCGAGTCATGGAAGAATATTGGAATGCAGGAAACAATCTAATTGTTTTAGCGTTGGATATCAGTAAGGCATTTGATACAGTAAATGTGAAGAGTTTAAGAGAAGTTTTACTTAATTTAAATGTTCCATCTAGATTAGTTGACAGGGTGTTATTATGTGTTAAGAATGAACTCACTAGAGTTTTATGGCAAAACCAATTTTCTAAAGAGTTCAAAAG